TCGGTTGGGCAGCCCCTCACCTGGCAGGCTGGAGGAGCTGCCGGCACACACAGCCATTCTCCTGGGCGCCACCTCCATCCTGCACCTCTGGCTGCTCCGCCAGCCCCGCCGCGTCCGGGGCCACGCTCTGCTGCGAGGACTCTGCCATTCGGGCGAGGACCTCTAGGTCCCTGGGCAGGACATGACCCATTAACCCTGGCCTGTGGGTCCCACCTCCTCCCTGGGACTGGTGAGCCACTCGCCCTGCAGGGGGCGCCCCTCTTCCCCCAGCAGCTCAGCATGGGTGGCAGGTGCAGTCAGGGTTCAGGGCTCACAGCCTGAGAACCAGGGCTGGGGTTCAGTCCAGGCAGAGATGCAGGCTGGCCCTCCGCGCTGTCCCAGGTTGGGGTGGGAGTGAGGGAGCAGCGCCCCGTGCATTTCCCATCCCAGCTCCTCTGAACACACGAACACACACACACACGCACACACACACACACACACACACACACACACACACACACCCTAGGCCCCCAGAGTGAGGTGGGGGGAATCCGTTTTTTTTTCTTTCCCTTGCCACTCCAGCTTCCCTCAACCCCAGCTCACCAGGACTGCCAAGTCCAAGAACCCTAAAATTGTAGCTGCTGGAAGGCACTGTATGTAAACCAACACTCTCATCTCACAGAGAGAGAAACTGAGGCCCAAGGCGGCCTGGGACTGGTCCCAGGTCACCTGGGGAGACAGTGGCAGGGCCAGGCCTGGAAACCAGGTCTCCTGCCCATGGCCTGGCTGGTCTTGTCTCCTGCCAGCTGCTCTGAAGCAGAATCCAGTTTTGTAGAGCCGGGACTCAGGACATTCCGCCTTACCCAGCCCTTCCAAGGGAGCTCCCCGTATTCAGCCCTGCCTCTACCCGCCAAATGCCAACATAAAGCCAGGGTAAGAGTTCTGAGCCCGGGAGGGGGAGAGGCTGACCTAGTGGGCTCCCCTAGGGCCGCTGGGAGGAAGCGTAACTGACCTCACTTCCTCATATTTCTTGTCTCGGTAAAAGTGGCTCTTTTTGATGAAGTAGATGAGTACCAAGTCGCAGAAGAAAGACCCCTGCAAAAGAGGTGGGGTCCCTGACTCAGGATCCTAGACGTCCAGAGAGCACCCGCCACTTGACACCACCTACATCCCATTTGATCCTGCAGCAACCCCTGAGGGGGGCTGCGCTCAGAAAGAGGCATCTTTGCCCAAGGCCACAAAGCTGCTCCATGGTAGAGCCAGAGTTAGCCTGTGGTCCGTCTGACCCCTCAGGTTGAGCACCCCGCACTACCCTGATCCCATCGAATCACGCCTTCAGCCAGTGTCTGCTGAGCACTCACCAGTGTCAGGCACTGCCCCGGGGTGCGAGAAAGAGTAAGACAATGATGATACCCTCTGGGGACTCCCCCTCTGGTGCAGGAGACGAGCATATAAATTATGACAGAGTGACAGTGTCCCATGATGGGGACAGGAGCAGGGGCAGCAGAGAGAAGATGGGACCCTACTGAGCTTGGGGAGGAACATCTGGGCTGAGTCTTGAGGCTGAATAGGATTTTATATAAGGAAAAAGGAAAAAACGCTCAGGAAGGGCACTGCAGAGGAACAGGCTCGTCGTGCCTGGGAACAGGGCCAGGAACAGAATTGCGGCATTGCGGGAAGATCCCTCTAGCAGGCAGTGAGAGAGGGACTGGAGGGTATCTTAAGAACAAGGACACCACAGCAGTGGTCAAGGAAAGATGAGGAGGCCTGAGCCAACCCAGAGGACCGACCCACTGGCACCTGAACACAAGCTCTTCAGACCAGCGTGGATGGCGCAAATACTAGTCTCCTCCACCAGAGGGCGACTCCACCCACTGCACAGAGAGGAGGGGGCGGGGGGCGGGGTGGGAGAGGGTTGCTGGAGGACCACAGGTGAACCAGGTGCTCTGACCCTGGGCATTGCACAACCTTCACCTACCCACCCACCCAGATGCCAAAAAAAGGTGATCAATTCCTTGTTCCACAGAGAACACTCCTCCCCCCCCCCCCCCCACCCAGCCTCTACCACTTTTCCCCCTTACCTTCATTCCACAAGTGCGTCCCCAGATGCCTGTGTTCTGATTTACCCCCATCATAAGAAAGTGATGTCTGAAGGTGGCCCATGTCTCGGGAAGTTACCTATGCAAACGTGCAGGGCTCCCCAACAATGTTGCTGCAGTTAAGAGGAGCCCCTTGGGGCCCACTTTCATCCACTAACCACCTCTCAGGAGCATGGCCTCTTTGAGTCCTGCTACAGGACACGGTGTTCCTGGTCTCAATAAAAAGTCAGTGCTAGGTCCTCCTGGAAGCCCCCATGGGGCTGCTGTGACCTCCCGGGCAGAGGAACCAGGGACAAGGCTGCCAGAAACCTTGGCAAGTCGCTTGCTGGTATGGGTGTGAGCCACTCTGATGACTGCCTTGTCTATAAAAAAAACTTCCAGAAAAACAAAGGGGCATGAGAGATCCAGAGGAAGCCTTTCACTGCCCTCCAGCTGTTACTTCCTCTCCGGTGGCCCCTCTGCCCAACTGAAGGGACAGACCTGGACTACAGCCCGACTTCCCTGCCTCTCGTCTTTTTAGCCCCGTGATTCACAACCGGGGGGCAGTTTGGCGACGTCTGGAGACATTTTTGGCCGTCACAACTGGGGGAAGGTGCCGCTGGCGTCTAGTGGGTAGAGGCCGAGGATGCTGTCATGTCAGACACTACAGTGCACACAGTCACCCCACAAAAAAAGTTATCTGGCCCTACGTGTCAACAGGGCCGCGGCTGAGAAGCCCTGTGTATAGCCGGATCCTGCCTCTCTTTAGCAGAAGTGGAGACAAGGCTGCGCAGGATCCCAGAAAACCGCCCCCGCGCCCGCCGGCC